GAGAGCAACTAAGAACAGAGCAGGGAGGAAGAGCAGGAGGAAAAGATCAACTTTAAACAGAGACATGATGTGGGAGGGAAAGGGAGAGAAAAGGGAAATTGCATGGAAATGGAAGGAGACCCTCATTGTTATACAAAATTACATATAAGAGGTTGTGAGGGGCAAGGGGAAAAAAACAAGGGAAAGAATTAAATTACAACAGATGGGGTAGAGAGAGAAGATGGGAGGGGAGGGGAGGGGGGATAGTAGAGGATAGGAAAGGTAGCAGAATACAACAGTTACTAATATGGCATTATGTAAAAATGTGGATGTGTAATTGATGTGATTCTGCCATCTGTATTTGGTGTAAAAATGGGAGCTCATAACCCACTTGAATCGAATGTATGAAATATGATATGTCTAGAGTTTTGTAATGTTTTGAATAACCAATAAAAAAAATAAACAAATAAAATGGAGGCATGCTGTCCATCTACAACTACAAAAAAATCAATAATATGTAAATGTATGTAATATATGGTCACTTCATATGAAGCTAAAATATATTAGTACAATGTTCTTTTACATGGAGACTGACAAAATACAATGTTGGTTAATCAATGTTAGTTGGTTAACTACTGTCTATCATACACTGGGTGCAAGAATACAAATTGTACAGTTTTGCAGGAAAGAAGTTTAGCCATATATTCCCAAATATAAAATGAGTAGAGTCTTTGATTCAAGTTTGGGATCTTAGCTATTTCAGGGTAGAATCAAACAATTTTATCAAAGTGTTTTTATATGTAATTATAGTGTTTAAAATATAATGAAAACTGAGGAAGAACTTAAATTTCTTCAGTTAGGGATTAGTTTATTATATATCCATGAAATGGATTTCTAGGCAGCTATTACATAGCATAATATACACTAGAGATTGGCAAACTATGCCTCACAGGCCAAATTCAGTCCACTACTTCTTCTTTTAATAAAGTTTTATCAGAATGCAGCTATATCAATTGATTTATGCGCTGTTTCTACATGAATTTATTTATGTAATAGCTGTCATGGTTGCTTTTATAATACAAGGGCAAAGTTAAGTAGTTGCAATAGAGTTTGAATGGCCCAGAGGCCTGAAACATTTAATATCTTTCCCTTTATAAACAGGTTTACTTTCTTCTGATCTATAGCTATATTCATTGGCATGGAAAGCTCTCTGCAACATATTATTGAGTGAAAAAAACTAGGGCACAAAATCACATGTTTAGTGTGATCCCTATTATATAAAATCAGTGGTATCAAGGAAGAAAGAAAGAAAGAAAGAAAGGCAGCTTAAAGCATATATTTTTAGAAGAGATAGTTTGAGTTATATTCACCAAAATATTCTAGGGTATTTGTGAGTTGTGAGACTTTTGGTAATTGTTTTCATAGCTTCTTTATATTTTTTGGCACTTCCTAAGTTTCTAAAAATCAAGAAGGCTATATTTTTAATTGAAATGTAACTTTAAGGAATATCCACATAAATAAAATAGATAAATGGCTAGTATCTTTATTTATATAGAGTTTATATCATTGTTTTTTGAAAAAAGTACTTGAACTGATAACTCAAAAATTAGAAAACAGAGCTACTAAGCAGGCACAGGGGATCTGTAAAAGCATTGCAAACAATACGATATGAAATTGTTTTGATTTTTAATGAGCAAATTTTAAAGTCACTCATACTTACCAACACTGGTTGGGAGAATTCAATGAAACTATTCATAAACTTTTGGTGACCTTTGAGATTGTTATATTTTGGCAAATAATTTGGCAATGTTTAAATACTTTTTAATATACCCTGGGATTTTTGCAACTTTAATGAACACCTTGAAACAGCAATCTCACTTTTAGGAACATACATTTCTAAGGAAATCATCTTCCATTTGGGAAAGACCATATCCCCCAGGTTGTTTAAGCAGTGTCAAATATCTTAAATATAAAACTAAATAGAATTGAACATAAAAATCTCACAAGTGCTATATTTTTGCAGAGGCAAAAAATCTCTATAGGACAAAATCAGGTACCTATGAAGATACAGGACAACTGACATTGTCATGAATTGCTGGTAGGAATGCAAAGTAGCCACCCAGGAAAACAGCTTTTAGTCTTTTACAAAGTTAAATATACACTTACCACATACTACAGAACAGTTTCACCCTATATACCTACTCTTAAGAAATGATAACTTACGTTAACACAAACACACAAGTGTGAGTATTTAGAGCAGTTCTATTCATAATTGTTAAAAACTAGAAACATCCATATTGTTCCTCAAAAGGTGAACAGATAAACTGCAGTGTATCCATACAGTGGGTTACCAGGTGCTATTAAAATCCACAGCAACTTGGCTGAACTCAAGGGTACCATGCTTAGGAAAGGAGGCAGTCTTCAAAACTCATATTGTGTGATTCCACGAAAAGACAAAAGCAAAGGTTGGAGAGCAGATACGTGGTCACAAATGTTAAGGGTGGGGATGGTGTGAAGGGATGGCACTGGGGAGTTCTTTGATATGATATGCTGTCATCCTCACTGTGATCTAGTTACCAAACATCTACATGTATTATAACTTATTGTACTGTACACCAAAACTCAGGAAATTTGACTGTATGATAATTTTTAAAATAAATGAAAATAAATCCAGGTAGGAAAAATTGGAAGACAGTACACTAAAATTACAGTGTTATTTGCTTATGATGATAGTATTATGGGAATTTTTTCATAACTTTATTTTATTTATTTATTTTTATATGGTGCTGAGGTTCCCAGGGCCTTGCATGTGTGAGGCAAGCAAGTGCTCTACCGCTGAGTCATAACCCCAGCCCCTATTATGGGCATTTTTCTTTATTTTTTTATTTTACCAATTTAAATGAGCACATTATTTTTATAACTAAGTAGTAAGATTATAATGCACATATCCAAGAACTCTAAGACCATATTAGTTTTTGAAAGTTGGGAAAGGGAGAATTAACCCTTCATATTGCAATAATATCTGAAGACACTGTGCATCTTGGGTTATCAAGGACATTTCAAATTGTGTCCAGGGATCTGTTTATGATATTGATTAAGTATGCAATTCACTTTAGAATGTGAAAATGGAAGTAATCATAGAATTTTTGCCTTGTTAAAGCCTCTTTTATTTGGAAGTTTGGTTTTTTTGGAGGGGATACTGGGGATTGAACTCAGGGGCACTCAACCTCTGAGCCACATCCTCAGCCCTATTTTGTATTTTATTTAGAGATAGGGTCTCCCTGAGTTGCTTAGCACCTCATCATTGCTGAGGCTGGCTTTGAATTAGAGATCCTCCTTTCTCAGCCTCCCAAGCCTCTGGGATTATAGGCATGCGCTGCTGCACCTAGCTATTTGGAAGTTTTACTTCTATGAAATTCTCCATTCACCTGTATGTTTGTGTGTGTGTGTGTGTGGTGCTGGGGATTGAACCCCAACCTTTCACATGCTAGGCAAGTGCTCTACTGCTTTATTCACCTGAGGCCAAATAAGTGAGACTTTGTCATAATGTGATAATAACCTCATGTGAATGTGTTACCTCATTTGTCCCTCACATCCCCTCCCCTGCCCCTGGAAGGTGAGTAGGATCAGTGTAGGCTTTTCTGTTTATAAAGAAGAAACTGAGGGGCTTGGGCTGTAGCTCAGTGGTTGAGCACTTGTCTTACACATGTGAGGCACTGGTTTTGATCCTCAGCACCACATTAAATAAATAAATAAATGCATACATAGATAGATAGATAGATAGATAGGCAGATAGATAGATATTGTGTCCATCTACAACTGAAAAAGGGAAGAAGAAACTGAGGCACAGAAACTCTAGTGAAAAACAGTGGGCAATAAATGTATCATTTGCTATAACTTTTCTCTCAGGAAATAGATTGCACTGTTTGGTTGCTTGCCAATCGTGATAAATGGTAATATTCTCATTTTTTTCCTCTTGAGAATTTTATGGACATCATTAGAAATGAAGTAAATGTGTGTTGGAGGAGAGAAAATATTTGGGTTTTGTTGAAAAATTCACAAGTGCATTGGCTGTAATTCATTTCTCCCATCTGTTTGTTTTTCAGGATTTTATATTGCACCCTGATTCTGCCTCTGCATTACCTTGAACCTTTCTTTTCATATATCTTCCTCAACCTACAACTCATGATCCTACAGGTCCTTCACCTTTACTGGGGTTATTTCATCGTGAAGATGCTCAAAAGATGTATATTCTTGAAGGTAAGGGCTGTTCAAATATTATTGTTTCCAACAAGTCTACTTCATTGCCAGATTAGAGGTGGAGCCCAGATGATGGAATGCACAAGGTAATTTATAGGTTAATCAGAATGCTTTTTTTATTTGATTATAATTAATGTCATTGTGTTTTATAGTGATGGGCATTGAACTCAGGGCCTCATCCATACTACACAAAGACTCTACAACTAAGCTACTCTTTGGTTATTATTGGTAAAAAATGTTCTCTATGATGTAGTTAGATTTTTCGTGAGTAGGACTCTGAGGTACTTTTAAGAAACTGCTTTTAGAGGCTGGGGCATAGCTCAGTGGTAGAATGCTTGCTTAGCATGTGCAAGGCCTTGGGTTCAAACTCTGGCAACCCTCACCCTCAATAAGTAAATAAATAAACAAACAAATAAATAAATAGATGAATAAAAATTGATTTTATTTGGGAATGTTATTTTGAATTTTTTTAATTAAAAATTGATTACTACTTTTTAAAGAATCACCTAATAAATCAAAATTTGCTGTACTGAGTGACCAGTTTTATGATAGCTGAGTAATATTTCAAAGTGCTTCCCTGTGCTGAGCATCCAATTTGCATGTAATGGTCTCTCCCTGAACTTGCTTCTACTTTCTGAAATATTTTTCATCATTTAGTTGTACTATGTTTGTAAAGACATCTTTTCTAGATGCAGCTATGCATCACTTAGCAATAGGACATGTTCTAAAAGATGTGTTAGGTTATTTGGTTGTCATGTAAATATAAAGTATGAAGTGTACTCACACACATTTAGTTGGTATAGCCTACTGCACATGTAGGATATAGTGTGTGTGTGTGTGTGTGTGTGTGTGTGTTGTAGCTGTGTGTTGGTTGTGATGAGTGAAATAACGTGAAGATAAATTAAGCATGAGAATATGATGTGACCAAGTGGTTTGGTAAATACAAGATAGATGAAGCTGTTACCAGCAGAACAGAGCACAATGTTTTATAATACACTTGTTTTAGTAAGTATCAAGAATACCCTATAAAGTAATTACAAAATGAATAGTAAATATAAAAAATAATCGCCTAGTCATTTATTATCATTCTCTAGTATTATATACTGTCCATAATTGTCTGTACTATACTTTTATGTGACTGGCAGTGCAATAGGTTTGTTTACACCAGCATCACCACAGACATGTGAGCCACTATTGTGCTATAATGTCATGATGGTTATAATGTCAGTAGGTAATGGAAATTTTTCTCATGGGACCGCCATCATACATGTGGTTCCTTATTGACTAAAGGTGGTTATGTAGCACATGACTGTAATAACAAATTGATAATACCTTTTAGACAATAGAAGATTTTGTTTTGTTTTGTTTTGTTTTGAATTAGGTGTGGGTTTCAATTCCAGAACAGTGTGAGAAAAGGACTACAGAAATGAATAAGGCACAATCACTGGCTTTAGGGAAGTAGTCCGTATCTACTGGAGGAATATTCACCTACTGTCAACAAAACATAATGTATAGAATATCCTGTGCTAAATAGAGGTTCTTTCTGTGAAAGAAAAAGATAAAAGAGAAATTCATTTACTCAAGGGACCAGGGCAAGTTCCACTGAGTGATGGAGTTTGTGTTGCACTTTTAAAATAAGGGGAAAAATGAGATCCCACTCCTTCTTTGTCTAGAAATCACACATCTAAGGAAGTGTCAATTAGCCATGCTTCAAGTTGAAAGTTGCAGCTGGCCCATCCTGGGTGTTATCATCTGTGTATAGCAATAGCATCAAACATCATGGATAACTCGCATGCTATATGTAGGCTGGAAACAGTCAAATAAGTTTAATTTTTTGGCTCAAACCTCTGATTGATTTATTTTTCCATTTTATTATATGAGTCTCAAAGATGACTGAAGAGTTGACAGGCAAAATGAATACTGTAAAAATTAACCTGATTTTTTTTTCCATCTTAACTCTTGGATCTAGACAAAGATATAGGAAATTGAGATACCACTGGATTAATTTTTTTAAAAATCTGAAAGGTTTTTTTTTTTTTTTTTTTAACTAAATTACTACTGATACAAGTGTGTTTCCTAGAGAGGGGACTCTTTCATTCAAGTTGGAGTGCCAAGAAAAGGAACTTCCATTGAATGGTTCTAGCTCATGAAAAATCTAAATAGTTTTACTATGATCTGTGAAAAAGTTATCTTATGTCCAAGTGTCTAATAAAGTTGCAGTAACTGAGATAAGGTTAAGAATTTGAACAGCTAGATGATTTGCATATCCTGTAGTTGGGTTAGAGGGAGGGCCCTGAGCTGAATCTGTAATTCCATTGGATCAAGCCTTCCTGGACCTCCTATTCTCACGCAGAAACTAGCCCCTTAGTAACTGGTGAGTGACAACAATTACAGTCCTGGAAGGGACCCAGGGGAGAGCAAATCTTGGAAGCCAAAAGATACTCTAGTTTGGTTTTGTTGTGATTTTCACATTTCTGATTTATAAAGGGTCATGCCAGGCCCGATTAGAAGCCTAGCAGTCTGGCAAGCCATGGACAAGAATCCCTGATTTCTTATGCTGTACTTTGGGAAAGCTGTTTCCAATTGCAATTTGACAGCAGTGGTGAAGGGCCCCACAGCCCTAATCCTTGTAGTTCTTATGACTTCAGCTGGCTTGCATATGCACTCTGTTTTCCACAGCAGTGGCAAAACTGGCTGTGAAATCAGCGTATTCCTCCAAAGCCATAAAGCCTCCTTTTAAAGAATGGTATTTGAAGGCATAGTTGCATTGCAAAGGAAAGAAGAAGGGTAGAGGCAGGAGCTGAAATTCTTAGAGGAACAAGTAAATCAGTTTTCAACTCTGTTTAAAAGTATGTAGCATTTAATGCAGCTCCACTTGTTACTAAGGGGACTATTCTCGGATACTTTAAAAATGGAATTGCAGAAGTTCATAGGCCTCCAAAAATTTCTGGTAAATCTTATGACAGAGATTGAGAATTTGGCCTTCAATTTCTTATACATGGCAGGTTCTAAGTAAATAATTTTAGAAATACAAATGAAAAAGTAATTTGAGGAAAACAAACAATATTGTTTTGGGTGGAAAATTATAAGCTAATTTATTATCAGTTATGATCTCCATGAATTTGTACAGCAGACTGAGAAGAACAAAATGTTTATACTTCATAAAAGTAGCATTTTTCTGCAATGTTACATCTTATTTTCCCTAAACAATGGAGTTCTGGTATATATATACACGTGATGAATGAAGGCCTCCCACTCTTTGCTTTTGTTTTGAATATCTTAAAACTATCACTGTGATATCAGAGGACAAGGCTTGGCTCTGAAATGTGATTCCTATAAAGTGGGTGATTTTGTGATGAACTACCAACCCACACATCACATCAGGAAACATGAAAAGCTGACACATTCATCTTGTCATGCTCTTTGCAAATATGAGAAGTGCTTTGAGAGGAAATGAGAAGGAACATAGTATGCTTTTGTTTAATATTACTTAAGAGAACTTGATCATCCTTAAGCGTTTTTTTTCTTCTTTTTAAATATCATACTGGGTCCTGGCCAACTCAAGCATGTCTCTGTGACATCTTACATTGGTGAAGAGCCAAGTCATTCAGGGGGAGCTGGCGCACACAGCCATTAAAGCTGGGGTGGAGACACTAGCCCCTTGGCAATGTGCCCCAGCCATCTGCAACTCACCAGGCAGCATCTCTTAACTTCATAGAATGACACTTTGCATACCCTGCACTAGCTTAGTTAAAGAAAGGAACATGGTAATAAACATGAGGAAACTGAGGCCTGGACAAATTTATAAGGATTTTTGGCAAAGCCAAAACTAGAACTTCAGTCTTTTAACTTGTAATATTTCACCTTTTTATCATTTCTCATTTGAATTAAGGACAAAGATTTAATAACCAGAAAATTAATTTAAAAACTTTCATGGAGTCAAAAATAGTAAACAAACCAAGTAATCAAAACAATAGTTTAAAATAGAGCACATATCCCTTAACTTACTTTTTGAACTTTTTAAAAGCATAAAAAAATATTTTCTTAGGTTTTTTTGTTTAGTTTACTTTTGTTTTTAATCCCAAATCACTGCCACATAAAGCAATTAGGTAGCTAAGAATACAGGCTCCAGGCAGATTCAAACCTTTGCTCTCCCATTTCTGGCAGAGTGATCTTGGGTGTATGACTTCTACTCATTACCTCAGTACCTGCCTTTTAGGATAAAGCCCTTCCTACATCATTAGGCACATAGTAAGCAGATAATAAACATTAGCTGATATTATCATTCTCATTACTTCTTAAGCAAGTTTCTTCTACTGAATTACAAAGAGCCTGCTGCAAATAACAAGTTGTCTGGCAGTTGGCTCTCATCAAAGCTCTTCATTTTAGACAGTGCAGCAGCTGATGTCAGGTGTTAGAATCTGTGGCTGGCAGCCAAAGGCTCCGATGACAGTTTTCAAAGTTGTCTTCTGCCAGTTGATTTTCATGACTCACGTTCTGTATGATCCTTTTTGACACATTCTTTCAAATGTCAGCATATTAGAGAAGAAACACAAAATCTGTAACATCCTAGATGCCAAGAACACTATTAGTCAGTACTAGCAGATATAAAAACTGTGCTTGGTTGGATGAAAATTTCATAAAAATGTTATAAAGGCTGATGATTGAAATAAAGTATTATAGAGGTGCTCTTGATTTATATTTCTATATTCCTGAATATTTATGCAGATTAACTAGTTTGATAATTTACTTCAAGAAACAGTGGAATTTATAAACTTATAACGGCAAAAAATCAATGTGGTCATGTTTACTGGCTTAGAGAATTTCAAATCTGCATATACTTCTACACTCTACTAAATAGAATCCCTGTAGAGTTTAAAGCTGGAAGAGACCATTAAATGGCCCACCATGACACCTGGTTCCTCTCCTCAAGGTCTTACTATTGTTTTGAGCACGCCACTCACATCCACATATGTGAATGCGTGCTGGCTTTAAGTTTC